TGCCCGGAGAGCCGCCCCATCCTGGCTGGGACCCACTGGTGGCTGCAGCCACCTTTGCGGGGACGCGGCTCAGCTGACACCATCAAGCCCAAGTCCCACCCTGGGGCTGGGGGGCAGCACTGGACTGGAGAGCCTGGTGAGGGCCGGGGCCCCCAAGGCCGGCAGCCTGTACATACCCATCTAGAGATCTATACATACTGTACAGAGAGCGACTATATAGAAATATCTATACTGTACCATAGGCAGCGGCACCAGCCCCGGGCTGGCTTGTACATAGTCAAACGTGTTGGATTTTCCTCGTCTTCTGTGAAGACCCGACCTATGCAAACGCACAGACACTTTTTGGGGAAAAAAAAACAAAAGAAAACAAAAACAAACTCAACCTTTTTTTCAAGTGCTTTGGCTGGTGATTTTCATATTCTGCTCTTAGTCTATAAAAAAAAAACCCAAAAAAACAATAAAAGGATAAAAAAAACTGCCAACCCCTGTCACGGTGACGTGCAGTGGTCCCAGTCAGCTGTTGGCCAGCCCAGCTCTCCGGTGCACTGGGCTCTCGTGAGGGTGGCAAGTGCCTGGTGCTGACCTTCACTGTGCTGCCCACCTCCCCAAGCACAACAGCTGCAGCCATGGGCTCACTGCTGCTGGCAGGGAGGGCCGTTGGGGGGGGTGCAGGATGCTCCCCACCAGCTCTGCTCCCTGTTGACCCCAGGCACCAGCACAGAGCACCCAGCAGGGATGTGGTGCTGCACTCAGGACAGCACGGCAGAGACCAGTGCCTGCAGGTAAGGGTGGTGCAGGGCTGTGGGCAGGACCCTTGTTGCATGTCCCCAGGGTCCCTGGGAGGTGGTGGCTGCAGCAGCCTGGGCAGGAGCACGCATAGGGGAGCCATCCTCACCATCTTCCTTCTCACCGTCATCGCCTTTCTCACCCTCCTCTCCCTCCTCACCAGCTGCATGGGGCCAGCGGGCTGTCACCCCGGTGTGCCCCAGGGCACTGTGGGAATCCCTGCATTGCCCCCACTGGCGCGTCTGGCTCTGCTGGGCATGCCAGCTCCTGCCAGCTCCCGCCGGTGTCGGGGGGACGTGGCAACATGCCTGTCTGTGCAGCAGCTCCAGCAGGATGGGGAGGAAGCCCTCAGCTTCCCCTGTCTGCCTTTGGTGCTGCCAGAGGGGAGTGGGCTGTGCCCAGGGACTCACTGCAGATTGGGTTACATCTGAAGGGTGTCATTGCGGAGTAGTAGGGTGCCCCCAGCCCCATAGCCAGCACCCCACAGACCCGTGGGTGCAGGGGAGCAGCTGTGCGGGTCCTGACCCTGCATCCCACAGGCCGGGGACTGATAATGCCCCAAGGTGGGGGGCAGCCACTCTCCCCACGAGGCAGTGTGGGACTAGGGGGGCTGCAGCCCCCATCCCGGTGGGTAGTGACATGGCCTGAGTCTGGGGATCCCCCCCATCCATCATGGTGGTGCAGCCACTCTCTCCCAGCCGGCC